GGACCCATCTCATTTTTAGAATGAAGGCTGAAAAATGTCACTTCAAGCCCAACCAATAAATTCAAGGCATGTCCTTGATCAGTGCAAAGAAGTCAGTGAGGCAAAGAAAAACAACCCACAACCCACCCCCCAAAGGAGCCTAGAGCACAATACCCAGAATCTTGGAAGTCTGGTATTCTTAGAAGCATTTTCCTGATGGTTGAGACTGACTGAGGGGAAACTGGGTCTTGTTCTAATGGGCAGGACCATGTTCAGTAAATCTTTGATCCAATTTTCTATTGAAGGGAGGGGCTGTGTTCCCTCCCTATTATTTGCCCTGAGGCCACTGTGGTGGAGGTAATGAAGATAATGACAACCTCCTTCAAAAGGCCCCAGGCACGCACTGCCACACTCAGTGACCCTGATCATGCGGCAGGCCACCATCTACCCATGCCTCCGCCAGAGACTCCTGGACACTCACGGGCAAGTCTGGGTCAGTCTCTTGTGAGGTCACTGCTCCTTTCTCCTGAGTCCTGGTGGGCACAAGGTTCTTTCTGTTTGTGCCCTCCAAGAGTCTGTTTCCCCAGTCCTGTGAACAGGTCATGGTGGAGAGTTCTGACAAAACATGGTCCACTGGAAAAGGGAATGGCAAACCACTTCAGTGTTCTTGCCTTGAGAACCCCATGAACAGTATGAAAAGGCAAAAAGAGAGGACACTGAAAGATGAACTCCCCAGGTCGGTAGGTGGCTGATATGCTACTAGAGACAGTGAAGAACTAACTCCAGAAAGAATGAAGAGACAGACCCAAAGCAAAAACAACACCCAGTTGTGGATGTGACTGGTGATGAAAGTAAAGTCCGATGATGTAAAGAGCAGTATTGCATAGGAATCTGGAATGTTAGGTCCATGAATCAAGGCAAATTGGAAGTGGTCAAGCAGGAGATGGCAAGAGTGAATGTTGACATTTTAGGAATCAGGGAACTAAAATAGACTGGAATGGGTGAATTTAACTCAGATGACTGTTATATCTACTACTGTGGGCAGGAACCCCTTAG